CATGAATGTAAAAAGTGGTATAAAACCTCTAGTCATCCTTCATCCCTCATTTTACATAAAAAGTTTCATATCAGAGATAAGCCTTATGAATGTAAGGAATGTGGTAAAGCCTTTAATGAGGCCTCGTCCCTCAGTCAACATACAAGAACTCACAGTGGAGAGAGGCCTTATGAATGTAAGGAATGTGGGAAAGTCTTTAGTCAGCCCTCAAACCTCACTACACATATGCGAACTCACAATGGAGAGAGGCCTTATGAATGTAAGGAGTGTGGGAAAGCCTTTAGTAGTTCCTCAGCCCTCACTACACACATAAGAACTCACAGTGGAGAGAAACCTTATGAATGTAAGGAATGTGGGAAAGCTTTTAGTCAGGCTGCACACCTCACTTCACATATAAAAACTCACAGTGGAGAGAGGCCTTATGAATGTAAAGAATGTGGAAAAGTCTTTAGTTTTTCCTCAGCCCTCACTACACATAAAAGAACTCACAGTGGAGAGAGGCCCTATGAATGTAAGGAATGTGGGAAAGCCTTTAGTTGTTCCTCAGCCCTCACTACACACATAAGAACTCACAGTGGAGAGAGGCCCTATGAATGTATAGAATGTGGGAAAGCTTTCAGTCGTTCATCACACTTCACTAGACATATAAGGACTCACAGCGGAGAGAAGCCTTTTCAATGTAAGGAATGTGGAAAAGCCTTTAGTCGTTCCTCATCTCTTACTCAACATATAAGAAGTCACAGTGGAGAGAGGCCTTATGAATGTAAGCAGTGTGGGAAAGTCTTCAGTTATTCCTCTGCCCTCACTATGCATAAAAGAACTCACAGTGGAGAGAAACCTTATGAATGTAAGGAATGTGGGAAAGCTTTCAGTTGTTTCTCAGGCCTCACTAGACATATTCGGACTCACAGTGGAGAGAGGCCCTATGAATGTAAGGAATGTGGGAAAGCCTTTAGTCGTTCCTCAGCCCTCACTACCCATATAAGAACTCACAGTGGAGAGAGGCCTTATGAATGTAAGGAATGTGGGAAAGCCTTTAGTCAGGCCTCATCCCTCACTTCACATATGCGAACTCACAGTGGAGAGAGGCCTTATGAATGTAAAGAATGTGGGAAAGTCTTTAGACAAGCCTCAAACCTTAGTACACATAGAAGAATTCACAGTGGAGAAAGGCCCTATGAATGTAAGGAATGTGGGAAAGCCTTCAGTCAGGCTGCACACCTCACTTCACATTTAAGAACTCACAGTGGAGAGACTACTCTGCGTCAAAAATGGCATGTTCCGTCCTTACTACTATAATATCAAACAGCATATTTCCAAAAGTCTACAATTGAAGAGCAGATTTCTCAATGAGTAAGGAAGCAATAGTGACTGAAAGAAGGGGTCATTAGAGCTGTTTTGTGCCTTTGGGAGAAACGACAGTCTCATTGTAACTCCTTAATCAGTGTTTGTTACTATCTCAGTCCAAGCTAAATTGTACCTTTCTTAAAGTCTTTGACTGTTAACAAATAAGACTATAGGGAATAGCTTTGAGGACATACAGTTTTATATTTTTTTCAGTGTTTTTATTGATACTATATTGTATATTGCATAAAATACACTGAAGTTGTATTGAGGTTAGGAGAGTTTTGGTTTGTTTTTATGTTTATTGCACTTTCTTCTATTGTTTGCTACATATGTAAAGTTAACTATTTTATCCTTTATAATTAGTGACATTCTCATAGGACAGTACTTTGAGACTGCAAATACTCCCTTTCAGCGTACTACTTTGACCTACTAATTTTAGTATCCATTGATAATTATTACCTATGATTATTTTTAATGTGGTGCTTACCAAATGGTATTTTCTATTTCAATTATTTCTTCTGTTTGTTAATCAGAATTCTTCAAGAATTAAATGTCCCTTCTCTTCCCTTTATTTATTAAACTGT